ATCCTCACCAACATTTGTTGTTGTTTGTCTTTTGGATGGTGGCCATCCTTACTGGTGTGAGGTGACATATCATTGTGGTTTTAATTTGCATTTCTCTGATGACTAGCGATGTGGAGCATCTTTTCATGTGCCTGTTGGTCATCTGGATTTCTTCTTTGGAGAAGTGTCTGTTCAGATCCTCTGCCCATTTTTTAATTGGATTATTTGCTTTTTGTTTGTTGAGGTGTGTGAGCTCTTTATATATTTTGGATGTCAACCCTTTATCAGATATGTCATTTATGAATATATTCTCCCATACTGTAAGATGTCTTTTTGTTCTATTGATGGTGTCCTTTGCTGTACAGAAGCTTTTCAGCTTGATGTAGTCCCACTTGTTCATTTTTGCTTTTGTTTCCCTTGCCTGAAGAGATGTGTTCATGAAGAAGGTGCTCATGTTTATGTCCAAGAAATTTTTGCCTATGTTTTCTTCAAAGAGTTTTATGGTTTCATGACTTACATTCAGGTCTTTGATCCATTTCGAATTTACTTTTGTGTATGGAGTTAGACAATGATCCAGTTTCATTCTCTTACATGTAGCTCTCCAGTTTTGCCAAAACCAGCTGTTGAAGAGGCTGTCATTTCCACATTGTATATCCATGGCTCCTTTATCATATATTAATTGACCATATATGTTTGAGTTAATATCTGAACTCTCTATTCTGTTCCACTGGTCTGTGGGTCTGTTCTTGTGCCAGTACCAAATTGTCTTGATTACTGTGGCTTTGTAGTAGAACTTGAAGTTGGGAGGCGAGATCCTTCTTGTTTTATTCTTCTTTCTCATGATTGCTTGGGCTATTCAGGGTCTTTTGTGGTTCCATATGAATTTTAAAACTATTTGTTCCAGTTTGTTGAAAAATGCTGTTGGTATTTTGATAGAGATTGCATTGAATCTGTATCTTGCTTTAGGCAGGATGGCCATTTTGACAATATTAATTCTTCCTAGCCAAGAACATGGGGTGAGTTTCCATTTGTTAGTGTCCTCTTTACTTTCTCTTAAGAGTGTCTTGTAGTTTCCAGGGTACAGGTCTTTCACTTCCTTGGTTAGGTTTATTCCTAGGTATTTTATTCTTTGTGATGCAATTGTGAATGGAACTGTTTTCTTGATTTCTCTTTCTGCTAGTTCATTGCTAGTGTATAGGAAAGCAAGATTTCTGTGTATTAATTTTGTATCCTGCAACTTTGCTGAATTCAGATATTAGTTCTAGTAGTTTCAGAGTGTATTTTTTAGGGTTTTCAATATCATGTCATCTGCAAATAGTGACAGTTTGTCTTCTTTTTTTTTTTTTTAGTTTGACTTCTTCTTTACCAATCTGGGTGCTGTGTATTTCTTTGTTTTGTCTGATTGCTGTGGCTAGCACCTCCAGAACTATGGATATTGAATTTTATCAAATTTTTTTCTTCATGAATTAGTTGTGTGGTTTTTCTTCATTAGATTGTGAGTGTGGTGGTTTGCATTCATTTATTTTTCAAAAATTGAACCAGCCTTGCTTTCTGGGATAAACTTCACTTTGTCGTGGTATGTTGTTCTTTTTCTTCTTGCTGGATTCAGTTTACTAACACAGAACTTCATTGACTGACGATGGGGTTAGATCCCCAAAAACCCATTGTAAGTTGAAAATATTTTAAGCTGAAAATGCATCTAATGCATCTGACCTACTGAACATCATAGCTTAGCCCAGCCCATCTTAAACATGCTCAGAACACTTACATTGGTGGATACTTGGGCAAAATTGTCTAACACAAAGCCTATTTTATGATAAAGTAATTTATTAAATACTGTTACTGAAAGTGAAAAACAGAATGATTGTATGAATACAGAATGGTTGTGAGTGTATTGGTAGTTTACCCTTGGGATCACGTGCTGAGTGGGCACTGCTGCTCTCTGTGCTACTAGCATTATGAGAAAGGATCGTATCACATATTTCAAGCCCAGAAAAAGATGAAAATTCAAAAACCAAAGTATGGTTTCTATTGGTTGTAGAAAATTTCTGAATGTGTAAGGTTGAAAAATCATAAGTCAGACCATTATAAGACAGGACCA